TAAAACAACATAATCGTGTAAAAAATTATTCCTATTGTCACACCCCTAGTCACAATAGGAAGACATATCCAAATATTGGTCATGAATTCAGTTTTCGCCACCATTGATTTTTATTATTGTAATGAATTTTAATAAATTTATTTAGTTAGATTTATAATGTTAATATTCAATAAATTTAATCACTTGATGGTAGTCTCTAAGTTTTGGTATTTGATAAGTGAAAATCGAAAAAAAAATGGTCTGAATCTATAAGCCAGAACGGCCCGTTCTGGTTCCACTTTTGTGTGCTAATTTTGAATTTAGAACGGTCCGTTCTGATCTATTCGCCATGTGTTATTTTTTAATCTAGAATGGTCCGTTTTGATTTCAAAACGGTCCGTTCTGAACGTGTACAGTAAATGGTGCTAGTTGGGAAAATAAATTTGTACAGTTGCTATTTGGGTAATTTTTTTAAAATAGTATTATTTGAGTAAAAAATTCATATATAAATTATTTGATACTTAGTTTTATTAATTTAATATGTTTGACAATCATAAAAATATTTTATACATTAATTTGAATCTATATAACAAAGTATTATAATATGATTTTCAATTTTTTAAAGAATTTGTAGACTTGATCTATATACGAAAAACTTTTAATTTAACAATTTGATTGTTAAAATCAATATACATAATAAATTATTGCATAGAGTAACTTTACCAAGAGTTACTATTAGGGGACATTTGATACCCAAAATATTTTTACATTCCTAGTTTCCCTTATTTGGTAGCTATCTAAAAGAAGATCTTCAAGAATATAGTTTCCTAGTAGTTATTTTTATCTCACTTTTCCACAACAACATTTTTAGAAGATGGGAATTCAACTTTCCCGAGTTAGAGGAAAAATTTTATGTATATAAAAATGTCACAATATCTCTTTTTAAAACAATTAATATCTTTTTCTCTCTTTCCTTATATTTCTCTTTCTCCCTGTCTCTCTCACACACACTCCCCCTCTCTTTTCCTCTCTCCCCCAGCTCCCTCTCCCTCTCTTTTGTTGCTCTCTCTCTCATTCTCACTCCCCCTTTCTCCCTCTCTCCCTTTCTCCTTCTCCCCTCCATATCTCTATTTCTCTCTCTCTCTCTCGTATCTCATTATTTTTTATCTTGTCATTTTTAATAATATTATTAAAATCTATTTTATTTCTATATTTTAATGATAATTTGTTAACACTTTTATTTTTTTATTTGAATAAAATAAAATAATATATTTTTATTCTTCTTAATTATAATGAAGCATTTTTATTTTTTATTTTTTATTGTTAAATTTTGTATTTAAATGATTTTAATAAATTTTAATAATTTCAATAAGATTTGAGTAAATAAATATATATAATAAATTTATTTTAATAAAGGATATTTTTGTAAAAAAAATGTTTATAAACCTAAGAATATATATTGTAATCAAACATAAAAATCATTAATTCTTAGTAACCATATATGAATATTTTCAAAAATATTTATGAATAATCAAATATATTTTATATATACATCATAAGTTATCAATATGATGTAGAGTGACGTATTTGCATTTTTGTAATTCCCAATGATCTGGGTGACCTATGTTGTTTAGTAATTAAGTATGCGCTGAGCCAAAATTAACAACTTTCAGATCCATCTAATGAATAGATTTGTTTTATTTTTGGCACATAATTTATGAAACGTGAACAGGTTATACCGACACAAAGTCAATAAGCTCATATGAAGAAGTACTGAGACCATATATAACAATATTGAAACCACAAACATAATTTTACAGTAAACTGTTGTTGAATACTTTTGCTGTAGTTGAACCTTCCTAGTTGTGGGACAATCGTATGGCATAACAATAATAAGTTAAGTCATGTAAAATATACGTATAAATTTGTGTGTCTGCATCAATGGGAACTCATATTAATTAGGATGTATATAAATTACTAAGCAGGGATTTAAAGTCTTAATTCCACATGCTCTAAACAGCCAAAAGTACACGTTATTAGCACAGTGTCCTTTCACAACTAGCTATGGTACAGGGATTCATCACTTAATGACTTGACCGACACACGCAGAATTCTATTATATATGTGGTAACAGATCCAACTCTGTGTACCCATGAAATTTTACAAACAATATCAAAGCATATGACACATATAGGGAACTTATTGGATGGTTACTATATACTCCAGAGGGGACAAAAGGTGGTCTAAATTGCAATGATATGTAATCGGAGCAAACTTCTGTACATGCAATTATGGCCTTAACTTATTCTAACTTCTTAATGGTCTTGATGTGAAAGATAAAAGTGCAATGAGCCAGAAACAACAGAATGTATGTAAATTCTATTCTAATGTTGGGCCTGCTAATTGCATGCTAATGTAAGGTTTTCTTATTCATAGTTATAAAAATGTCAAATTATTATTACTCTGTTTTTATTTTTAAATATTTATTAAAAGGGGTAAAAATAACAAAATGTTGCTTTTTCATCGCTAGTATGAATTCTTGAAAAATAAAAATATAAAATAAAATAAGGGGTATTTTTTTAAAAATAATTTAAATGTTTTAAGTAATTTGCAAAATATGACAACTTTTATTTTAATCTCTGCAAATATTTTTGCTAGTTTTTAATTTTCATATATTTATTTATTTTTAAAATGCTCCCTACCATCCTGACATACATGTGACTTGGCATGTATAAATGCATGTCACACCAGCAAAAAGATTACTTTAAAACTTTTTTAAGTTATAATGATAAAAATAATAATAATAATAAATTGTAAAAATTAAATTAAATTCGCTATATTTGAATTTTTTTTAATTACAGTAAACCAATTTTTTTTTATAAAAAAATTATGCCCACTAATTTTTTTTAATATGGAAAAATGAGGTTTCCTCTCTCGATATATTTATCAAAATTTAAAGCACTATCACAAAGTATATGCAAAATTCTGAGAGACCATGTGTTCCCAAAATGCACGTAGAAATGTCAAAAAGATCCTATGAAGTTGAGGCTGTGTGGTAGGGCTAGGTGGCTTTGTCCTATATCGCATGTGAAAAAATAGCAAGATATTGTATGAGCTAGACCCCACTATATAAATGCAATACACCTCTGCCGACGAAATGAACGAATCACAATGGTCAAGATAAAACTTTCCTTTGGTTATTTAATTAGCATCTTTTACATATATATACATCTAAACGGTATAAAGTTAGTTAACCATTGCTTTGGGTAACCATGCATTTGAGACTCACACGACATTTCTATAAATACATGACCTAAACATGATCTAACTACTTGTAATCAACACCTTTTATTTGTTTGCTTAATGTTTATGAAGTGTGTCATGAGCATAATAATTAAGTAGGTACTTTGTGTCTGCAGATATGAATAAATTTCACATGTTTGTATTTAATGTCTAAGCAACTTTGCATGCATGCCAGCCAAACATACACGTCTTTGCAGATTCTAGATAAGTAGCCTCTTCTGTTACGCCATTGCACAGAGTTAAAGGTACATATACGGATTTTGTTATCTTTGAAAAGATTATGATGGAATAAATATATATTGACTGTACCATATGAACACTGAGCCAGTGAGCAATGCATGCATCATAGAGTACCATAAGTTATTTACTACATCTTAATCGTTTGATGATAAAAGAGAAAAAATATTGAAGCTAAACGAGTGATAAAGGCTGAAATTGAGGTCCTTACATTGGTAACTGAGAATAGGAGAAGCAAAAATGAAATATACTGTTCGTGTGAGTTTGTCATTTTGCGATTTAATTTAAAGTTGACAAATGTCCTTCCTCTAGCTCGCATCCAATGTATATAAACACCACTCACAAGAACGTTATGTTTGTTGTTATCCAATAAATAGTTGTACTCAAATCGATACCACGCCTTTTTGTTTGACACTTTGGCTGACATTTATTACCATGCAACTAGTCATGAACATATTTTAATCCAAAAGAGGAGTAAATTAAGAGAATTTTCCTTATGTAATCTCATTAGTATAATGAGTACATTCAATAATGGCGTCAATTCTGTTACTAGTTTTACAGAATTAATTTAACAGTACATATTCAGCTTGGACCTCAGGTGTTATATTCTAATTAATTAGAATTTTGTATTTATTTTCGGATGATATAAAAGTTTCTTCTGAAAAGGGTGGAATTAATACCGAATATTAACATGCCGCTAGAATTCTCCGCCTTACGTGCATCCATCACATGCTAATTTGTCTTGTAAACAAATAACACTAAATGAATTTAATTATATATAATCATGAATATGTACTTATGACACTAATGGTTAAATATATCTGACAAGTGATTATGAGTAAATGAAAATGTAGTATAAAATTTATCTTAGAAGTGGTTATGAAATGACTGATGATTATTAACTTTATCTTAGAAGTGATTATGAGTAAATGAAAATGTAAGTATAAAATTATCAATGAATACTTACAGTGATGATGATTAAATATCTCTTACAAGTGATTAATACTTAATAGTTTTTCAAAGGTTATTGAAATATTTAATGGTGAGTAATTATATGTCTTAAAAGTAATCAATCGTTGGGGTGGACGTTTATGATTTTTCAAAAAGGTGTCATTTTCCAGAAGAAAGATTTTGTAAACATTCTATCATGTCTAAAAAGTTTCTGGTAAAAGAAAAAGGGGCTTTGGAAGTAAGGTAATTTTTCCCCCCAACAGATGGTGACTTATTTGGACTAATTTAACCGCAGTACAACTTTTGTCTTGTTATTGGAGGCAATTTTGCTAGTTAGTGTGTGGACAGTTATAAGGATATCTTAAACTCAAAGGCTCACAGTGGACATTTGAATTGTATCAAAGTGCTTTCACATTCCCGTTAAAAAAAGCATAGTTTTCCAAAATCCAGATTCCCTAGATCCCTTGCTCTCTCACAGTTTTCAGCATTTGCATGGTCCCAACAGCTCAAATGTGTCTATCTGTCTGTCAGGTTTGATGTTGACTCACCTCTATTTATTCCTTTCCCATTTCCCCCTCCATTTCCACAAACAACTTCTTTCAAGGTTCACCTTCTTCTAACTCATTCTCTTTTCTTTCACCCCTTTTTCTGTTTTCTTTCACTTCATAGATCATTAACTGCTCTAGTTCTGCAGGAGCTAGTAGCTAATCAGAATTTATTGCTACAATGTACACATTGCTGACTTGTTTACACTCCAATGCTGCATTATTTATGTAGGAATTAAAATGGCTCTTCTTGGATTTCTTCTGGGACTTTTCTGCATGGTGTCACATGTCAAGGGTTATGGGGGTTGGACCAATGCACATGCCACTTTCTATGGAGGAGGTGATGCTTCCGGGACAATGGGTATGTAATGTAACTCACATTGATTTTACTATATAAGTGTACTTTATTAGTAACATAACATGTATATATGTCAAATTGTAGGTGGGGCTTGTGGTTATGGAAATCTATATAGCCAAGGCTATGGAACTGATACAACAGCACTGAGCACTGCACTGTTCAACAATGGCTTGAGCTGTGGTGCATGCTTTGAAATCAAGTGTGTGAATGACCCACAATGGTGCCTTCCTGGCTCCATCATAGTCACTGCCACCAATTTTTGTCCTCCTGGTGGTTGGTGTGACCCTCCCCAGCACCACTTTGATCTCTCTCAACCTGTTTTCCAGCACATTGCTCAATATAGGGCTGGGATTGTGCCTGTAGTTTACAGAAGGTAGCTAACTTCATTCTCGTTTTTCTTTACTATATGGTCATCAAGGTTTTCTGACTCAGGACTGCTCCAAGGATAAGGTGGTTAAAACTCAAATTTTAGTCATACCAACAAAAAATTATTTACTATCAGTTTCTCTAAAGAAAAAAGGTCATATATATTGATAAAAAATGTATAATATATAACTCTTATTTAAAATACAAAAGTCTATTTAAAATTTTTCTTTAGGCCTCTCTTGTTGTTGCGTCGGCCTGTTCTGACTCATCGCACCATAATTGTGACCACTACTTAAAAGCTTGATAGCCATTATTTTTGGGCTTGAAGCTGACATTTGTTTGTTCATGGATCGTGAAGGGTGAGGTGCAGGAGAAAAGGTGGAATAAGGTTCACCATCAATGGCCACTCTTACTTCAATTTAGTCCTTGTGACGAATGTTGGAGGTGCTGGTGATGTGCATTCCGTGTCCATCAAAGGTTCAAGGACTAGATGGCAAGCCATGTCAAGAAACTGGGGGCAAAACTGGCAAAGCAACTCATACCTGAATGGACAGAGCCTTTCCTTTGTAGTCACTACCAGCAATGGACACAGTGTGGTCTCATACAATGCTGCCCCAGCTAGTTGGTCCTTTGGACAGACCTACACTGGAAGGCAATTCAACTACTAACCAACCCTTAATTTAGTATCATTTCAATAATAATGTTTAGTAATATTATTGTCTCAAGATCACAGCTGAAAGAACCAATTAAGTTATAGTTGAGTATTGTAGATGGACTAGTGTTGTGGGCTAAATAGAAGATGATTTAGCCCCTTCTATATATATATATATA